CGAAAACGAAAAAGATTACACACGCTCTTACATAGACAATGCTAGCAAACATTCAAATAAACGCAAATTATGCATGGAAGAAAAAAAGCTGAGAAACTAGCATTGAACCCTGCTTCTAGTGTGCATTTCGCTTAGAAAGTAGCTTTCACTTACAAGTGTGAACTGATTTTCTTCCATTATTTGTGCTTCCGCGCTATCCAACATTGCCATTTTTTCGCTTGTAGCTAAAAGACAATCAGGATTATTGAACCTCGAAGGCGGATTTAATTAAAAATGCAAACACTGCTTTTGGAATTCTTTGCTAATGTCATTTCTTTGATTCGTACGTGCTGAGGTCTTAGGCGATGACCCTAATGCTGTAATTAATTAATTAATTCAATGTACTAAACTTCATCATGAGGCATGCATACTTGAAGATGCATTTCCGTTTTTGCCTTCGTTGCTCGCAATTTCATCGTCGGGATCTTCAGCTAAACAATAAGGCGGCAGTCCGTTGTGCTCTGAACTGGAATCTTCTTCATGTGGGTCATTTCCTCTCCCATTTTCAACCACGACGTCGTTCGAAAACGTAATGTTGCTACTCGGATTGTCAAACGGACGAGGGCGGACGTTGGTTTTTTTGACCGTTTCGCATAGAGCTAAAAAAGAAGCAAGGCGGTAAAGCAACAAAACCAAAGGGAAAGAAAGTTTAATAATCATTAAAATGTTTGTCTTTTATGATTAAGTCATTTCTAGTTCATTGTTTTTCATGATTAATGGGGAAGGAGTACTGAGATCTTCTTGCATGCCATCAGTCAAAGTGCATTATTTTAATGGCAGAATCTACAGCAAATTTGTTGAAAACAGTCCGTAACTTCCTGTCTCTGTCCTACATAGTGCTACTCATTTATCATTTTTGGAGAGAAGTAACGTGAGTGGCTCTACCGAGACTGCAACCCGGGACTTCTCGATTTTTGGTGCGATGCTCTACCGACGGAGCTACTTCGGTCACCAGAGATACGTTCTCGATATCACTTCTATCAATCTCGTTTTAGAACGGGAGCATCAATAGTCTTCTACCTACCTCTTAGTCATGTTATTATGCTCTTCCTTGCAAATAATTTGCTCAGCAGGTCTTACAATGCTTAATATTTTCCCTTGAAGAATTTTTGATCATTATGTAGAAATCTGATACTTTATGCGGTCGTTCTTACTATGGAGATTACAAAACACTTCATTGAATAATTAGAAACAATCACCGTTAATCTAATTCTCCAATCAATGACCGTTGGAGCGGTAAATCGCAATGGCATAAAGTAAAGAGAGGAAATTTATACTTCAGTAAGGCTGATATCGAGGATCAATCTAAGCCTTATATAAACCTCAAAATTAGTGCGTAACAAATTGGCTTCGAACTCGGACTCCGGAAGTGTCGAGTTCGATTCCTGCGAAGGGCAAGTTTTGTCTTTACCATGAATTGCCTTGAACAAGGAATTTATCACATGTTGCGTCATACCTCTGTTACTCAATCTGTAGAGCGTCAGACTCATAACCGAGAGAATCATGGTTCCAGCTCTGGTCGGGTCACTTTCCGTCTCCTTCTGAAGTTGATAAATCAGTACCATTCTAACAAATGAGTGAGAAGGAAACACAAGAAATATTTGCTCTTGATTCTGTCTTTCAAAAAATGCGGCGCTCTGGCAGATGACACTGTAAATGGGGATCAGCACCACCACCATTAACTAGAGTGATAGAATTGCTCCCATCAGGTAAGTGCAGGGAACAAGAGCATTTCAACAGATACTAACTTTCCCTTTTTCCTTTTATAACCTCAGTGATCGCATCTAAGGCAAGGCTAGTTAACCAATTAAGCCTGCTGCTTGAATATAACTTCAAAAAAATCAATTTTTCAGCAGTAGAACAAACAGCAAAAATATAAAGATAAAAGATGATAATGATTGTGAGTCCAACGCTCTCATCCCAAAATAGTGCAGCTTGGAACAACGCTCAAAGGACAATAATAAATCAACGAAACCCTTTCAAAATACAGTAAACATTAGCATTTTGAACAAACTTTTTGTTACTGCCACCGTACTTTTGAGGATGTCAACGACACCGATTCTAAACATGCAGAATTCAGCGAAATTATAAAAGTTCATATACTTTGGCTACAGTCCGAATCGTAGTTCACTTCGCCCGTCACGCTGTAGTCGTCGCATAGGAGATCATCTAACTCCTTGTCGTCAAACTTTACTTCTGAAACGGTATCTTCGTCGTCATCGTCGTTGTTGTCGTTGAATGTTGCGTTTTTCTTCTCGCTCAGAGGTGCGCCATTCTTCAACCATGCTTGCACTTCCTTCTTGTCGCCTGACTGCATGCAGCTCGAGTCGTCTACAAACGGAAAAGCTAATAAAGTTAACATCTGACAACTGAAAAAACTCACCATTCATCATCCCGTTAGTCAAAATTCCAAGCGACGACGATTTCGACTGGATGTACGAACCATCATAATCGCCCGAAGGCTGCACATCAGTCCTACATAATAAGTGCGTATTACTGTAAATGCACCAAGTATAGCCAATAATCAAACGATGGCTTTTTAGTCGGTGCAAAGTGTCTGTTATGAACAAAAACGATCAGCATATGCGTACCTATCCCGAATCACTGTCGACACCGCGATCG